CAGTATAAATTGCATAATAACTGTTCAAGTAAGGTGATTATATAAAATATAAATTCATTACATATTTTTTGTAATATTAAAACAATGTTTTAGGACTCAGAATTATGTAATATATATGGAATATGTGTATCAATAAATTTTAAAATACATGATATCTTATTAAAGATAAAATGTAAAATCCACATATTTATATCCTATATAACATAAGGAATAAAATAATAATAATCATTTATATGTTATCACGCTTTTAATAAAGCTTATATCATTACATAAATAATAATATAAATACATATTAAAACATTTTATTTTAGATTAAATTAGCGTAATATTTTATATTAACTCCTTTGTTAATATATATATATATATTTATTTAAATTTAATTTGAAATGGTTACACTAATCTTTTTGCTATTTTAATAATAAAAGTGCATAATTGTACGTTGTATAGCATAAATATTATAATTCGTTTATTATTAAAATAAAAACGTTCTCTAATATAAAATAGCATTGTGGTATAATGAACATCGTTTTTAATGTTGTATGAAATTAAATCATATTCTATATATATTGGTATATTAGATTAATAAATTATGATTAATTATTGCGTAATTTAAAATGTAATAAATATGAATTTAAGAAGAAATTGAAAAAAATCATGCCTTTTATTAATACTACGAAAAAAAAAATTCAACTCTTGTTCTATTTTTCTATATTATTATTACATATTTCTTATATACATGCCTCTCTTGATTGTACTATATATATTGAAAACACTTGTGAAATTAATAGTTTCCTAAAATTATTATTCAATTTAATAATTGAAGAGAAAATCATACATAAATATATATGATAATTAATAATATCACTGTTTTTATTTTATTATATGCTTCATTTTTTTGATACATAAGGAAAAATCGTAAAAACAAAAAAAAATTATTGTAAAAATTTACATTTAACCCTCATATTAAAACACTTTAGAATATATAATGTAAAATGTAAAATATTAGGGACCCTAAGGATTTAAAAAAATTTGAATTTCCTTAATTAGAACATGAAAAAATATAAAAATACACCTTCAAGTATATCGATTGGATATATATAAGTTGAATATTGATCCATCAATGATACACTTATGATGTTGTTTAACTTACAATATATTTTCTCTTGTGTATTTATATAATAAATGTAATTATATAAAGAATACATAAATAAAAAATATACTGTTTATAGCATTTATTTTTAAAATGTAATAATAAATAATTTTTATTAAAAGAGGAATTCAAATTTATTAAATAATATTAAGAAAATAAAAAATATTATTGCTCATCTTATTCAGCTCATGTTTTTGTATAAGGATAGCATAACGTAAGATTTTGTTGTTATAACTAGTTAAAATAATTTTGTTATAGTTTATGTTTGAAGAAACCTCACACTTTATTCACATCGGTTACATTTTTATTACATTTTATTTTATTATTCACATTTTTTAATCGTACATAATGATGCGTTGTAGGGTGCAGATATACATGCTTTGTTACATTTCATTTTCGCTTATTTGTCTTAAACGTATAGTTGTTCATTACTCAAAGAAAACTAAGCGATAAGATAATAAAATCCCTGAATATTGATATTATTTTATATTTTATTGAATATGTATATATAATACAAAATAAAAGTTTTGCACAATATAAGGAAAGAATATAGGAATTATACATAGTTATTAATGGCAGTTGTAAAAATATTTATACCAAAATACACTCTAAAAATTTAATTTACATATTAAAAAAAATTATATAGATAATATAAAATTTACAACTAATTAATATTATGCCATGATAATATAATATTGATTAAATTAGTAATATGTAATTAACCAGACATGCCATTTTTCATTGTTCAATATATTTTATGGTTATAAAAATAATACAAAAATATTTAAAATTTAATTCATGATTATTATAAAGATATGTATTATATTTTTAATTACCAGATCAGAAAAAATAATTATAATGAAATATATTTTTCATGTTTCTTCTAGGATATAATGACATAAAAATATAATACATAGTTCTACATTACACAATATTTTTAAGTTTCATAATATATGTAAGGTTGATTTGATATATCCTTATGATAATGAATAAATTTCAGTAGAATAACTTAGACATGTATTGAATATATATTGTATAATAGAAATATCCTATATAAATAGAAAACATGGGGGTACTAAAATTATTTGAGGATATGATTTTTGTTTTTGCTTTATTTGTAATATAGTTGACACAGTTACTATGGGTTCTCCTGCATTCCTTGCTTGGTATTAGAAGTATATAGCTTTATTCTATGTTATATAGATGAAGATTAATTGATATATTATACTTATTGTTATTTAAGATAAATTTATATATATATTCTTGATATATATTTATTATAATAGAATTCCAGGAAATATTCTTCACACGTTTATGATACTGGTGATACAAAATTAAAATAAAAAAATATCCATATAATACTATCAGATATATCTGCAACTCATTATAAATTTAGAATCCTACAGAGTAAGTTGATGAAGAGAATTAGTTGTATCAAGTATACAGTACTATATTTTGTGATAATAACATATAAAGAGAAATAAATGCATAAACAAAAACATTAATGTATTTTTTTAATGAAATTATGTTTTTCCATGAAAAAATCATTTTGTATAATTTATCTTGAAAAAATAGATACACTTTTAATACGCAAGAAATATTTACATTATAATATACATTTAAGAATAAATATGAATTAAACACAAAGATAGGAAAACTAGGTCAAAATGGATTTAAATATGTTATAAGATATTACCTAAGAAAATAAAGTACATATTATAGAATTAAAAAATATTATGATTTTAATATAGAGGATAAATAATATACAAATAAAATCATATGTACCTGTTTTTATTTATTAGGATAAATAAAATGAATTATTCAAGATTTTATCCAAAATACATACTTTTATGTACATATATAAAGGCGTAAATAGTAATGATGTTATATCCTTTTACCTAAGTATGAATTAACTAAGTGATGTCATTGTATAATAAAGCAAATTTGTCATAATGAATATATTTATTTGACTCTGAAATAGTAGGATTACTGGAGTACACAAAAATAAAAAAAAAAGGAATAAAGATATAACAATTATAAATGTTTATGGATTATGTTTTTAACATTATCAAATGTATTTTTAAATATGAATTTGTATAGTTGTATTAAATTACTTTTCTATCTTCCTGAAAGAGGCACAAAAAATTACCAAATGTTAACTAAAAGAAAAATAAATATAGCTCTTCAAATGAAGATATAGTTAATCACTTTATTTAGAAAAAATAAAGCAGCAGTGAATTTTATTTCTCCATTATTATGTATATTTTTTGGTTGTTTTAATAATTATATATGTTATTTTGCTATGTATCATATATATATGTTCATTTCCACCTTTTATTTTATATGAATTTAGCATATAGAATAATATTTTACATAAAATATTTATAAATGTATTATATGTAGTGTTTATTTCGTATATTTTGTAAACTAAATGGTTATTTTATTAGATTTATTATTACAGAATACACAATTTATATCATAATAAATTAATTCGAAACCAAATAATTTTGCGACTTTAATAAGTACATATGGTACATTATATAATCATATAAAATAACATTTCCTAATATGTTCTATTAATAATGAACACTGTTTTTGAAAAATAATGAGCTATTTATTAGTATAAAGTATACATTATTCATTAATAAGTAGTAAAATGTTTTTATGGTAATATATATATTATGTCAAATAAGAGCTCTTATATATTAAAAAATTATAATGTGTTTATTATCAGAATTCTTGATGATGTAATTTAATGTATATTTATAGATTTCATTAGAATTTATTGGGATATAGTTTTTTTATGTAAGAATATTATGTTCAAAAATATGAAAAACATTTTACACATTTTGTTACGGTTACTTTTGGGTTATTTAAGAATTCTATACATGTATAATTAACATGTAATATTGAATTATCTATTATTGATAGATTTTACATAAATATTATATTGTAATATGTGTTATAGTTAAATGATCTGTAGAATATTAATATGAGTGCATTGTTGCAATGAGAAATACAATAATACTAAATATATTGAAACTTATATTATTTATGACAATAAGTATAAAAATTATTAATCCATGATACAAGACAAATCTTTTTATAAAACAAAAATATTCCCTTAATTTATTATATTATGGCTATATTTTAATTGAATAATATATATGAGAAATAATGTCATAGATAAAAATAATAAAAATTGCAACAATCCGAAATACGCAAAATTAAATTATTTATTAATATGTTCTACAGATAATAAAAAATTAAAGAATCATAGAAATAGGTATATAAAATAGTAATTTTTAGGTAGAAAAAAAATGTTTATAAATTTATATCAAATATTTAAATAAATATAAAAAATTAATTTATGTGTCTTAAAATATATTGATTATCAGCATGATCAAAATATATCATAAAATATAAAATGCTAAATAAACAAATGTTAAATAAGAGAATTTATATTAATATATTAAGGAACAGAACATTTATAGCTGTTAATATTTTAAAAAAACCCTTTTACAAATATATAACTGTATATTTAATTTATAAAATTAATGAATTAAATTACATACTATATTTTTACCTTGTAATTATAACTACATGATTCAATATCTTACATATAATCATAAAATAATGTTACATTTATAAATAAGAATATTTACTATCTATCATAATATACTTAGATGGAATCATGAAATGTATAGAATATAACACATTAATATTACAATAAATATTTTTTACATTAATTTCTTTTATTAATAGTATATTTTCTTTTAATTATACGCTTTAGAATAAATATGTTTTAGTAATTATATAGATATATTATTTTTTTATTTATTGTTGTTATTCAAATGTAATTTTTATGAATACTTTCGAATGAGCGATATGCTATATTAATTTTATTTTTATCTATATTCGATAATAATGAATCATTCGCATATTTGCGCATAAGTGTTTGCAAATTTCTCATTCTTTTTATTTTCCTATGCATCCAATTAACAAGATGACTAAACTAATTAATAAATATTATAAACCATATAAATATTTTAAATGTATTTATTAAATTGAAATTTTTTAACAATTTAATTTAATAATGAAGTAATATAACATTCATAATGCAATTTTATATTTATTTATTCATTTATTTATTACTTTGTATAACATAAAACACTTGTTAATAATCCCCAATATAATAAACATTACAATGAGTATTTTATTAATTAAAAATTTGTTATTTATATTATGTTCTTTTTGAATTTCTTGATCCTCTAATACATAATTATTTCCAGAGTTTCTTCCATTGCTTGTAGTAATATTTGTGTGTGAATAATTATGCTCATTGCTTTGAGTTAATTTTTCAATAGAAACTGTTAAATTACTATTTCTGTGAGTATTATAATTTATATCTTTTAGAAAATTATATTGCAAAGGCAAATGGTTACTTTGAATACTCTGTTTTTTTCCTAAATATGTTATAATTATGTTTTCATTTATAGTATTAGATTTTGAATACTCATATATTCTTTTCCATTTCTCATTAAGATAGTCATCATACTTTGATATTTCACTTTTTTTATTTTTTAACTCATTTATTATATAATTTTGATCATCATGAAAATCATATATTTGTGTTAGTATACAACTTTTAATAGTTGAATGCACTCCTTTAACTCTATCGCATTTATAGTCGGATGTATTAATTTTCTCATTCCACAGCTGTTCAAGAGAATCATCAATCAAAAATTTTTTTTCAGTGCTTGTAAAATTTGATAAATTGATAACTGCAATAATAAAATTTAAGTAATAATTTATATCTCTACAGCATTTAGCACTATCAGGCAAGTTCTTACACTCATTTTTTATTGAAATGTAACCCGGTCTCGCATAAGTATTAAAATCATTTATCCAATATTCAACCTCAGAATAGTTTGCATTCCCAGCTTTTAATAATAAATCATTTATATTTAAATTATTAAGTAATTTATTTTTAAATTTATTTGAAGGAAGTTTATCTTTATCGAATGTCTGATAATAAAATGTATAATATATGTAAAAGTTCATATATAAAATAATATACAAAGGTAACAATAATTATAAAATTTTAAATAGCTAATTATTTATAAATTACTTCTTCCATGTTTAATAAATTATTTTATATACATATAATATTCTTTACAATAAATAATAAATATATTAAGTAGTGAAGCTTCAGTATTCAAAACTTAGAAATCATTTACATTAAAAAAACCTTTTTTTTCTACATATAGCTATGATTAAATGTTAATTTATAAAGTAAACAAAATATATTATAGAATGAATAGATTCTAATTTTATATAGACTTATTGGTCAACAAAAAAATTTTCTCATTAATTATATTACATATAATAAACGCGTTTAAATAGCAAATATATACAAAATAGTTATAATCATTATATTTTTCCGCATGTTCATTTTTTTATATAACGTTATATAAAAATAATTATAAAATACTAAGAACACATTAAAAAAACATTTTATCTAATTTTACCATAAAGACAGTGTAATTATTTACATATTTTATACATTTTAGTTAATTAATATTTTATTTATGATTTTATAAAATAAGAATATTATTATATAAAAAATACTATGGACTGACTTTAATAAATAATTATATAAAAGACAAAGGTGCCTTAGAAAATTATGCAGATTTTACATTAGATTCTGAAAATGAAAGTATTTATATAATTTATGGATCTATGGGTTATTCATAATTAAAATACAACTCAATACTGCATGTTTAATTCCAATATGATATAATATGAATTATTATTTCAGAATAATTTGGGTAATTTTGAATTATGTAAAAACAAATAAAACGAATTAAAAATAAAATTTGAAAAATAAAATATTGAAATAATAAATGATTTGAATATTTTTAAACATATATTATAGTTTAAACAAACATAATACTTATTTTAAAATAAGAATGATATGTAATATAAATATATTTATTAAGTTATTTTTAAGAGGTTCAGGGCTTAGTGTTAACGAGAATATATTAGGAATTTAGTATTGAATTTTTATTTCTAATGGTTAAATTCATATTTTCATTATCTCTGTATTTCTTTTTTAATTATTTATATGTTATGTATGTTATCTACAGTTTTATTTATTTATTATTTTATTTAATATATGTTTTTTCGTTTATATGATTATATTTTATTCTGTTTAGATATATATTTAATATTTATATTTATTTATGTAACTGTATTTTATTTATATTATATATATATATATGTTATTTATAAATGTTTTGTTTTAATAATATTATTAACTTATATTTAATTGTAACTTTTGGTAAATATATTTTATTTCCTTATTAATTATATATTTTGTTATTTATATTTATATATTATTAAAATATATATATTAATTTGCAGTTTTATTTAAATAAACATTTTATGCTATTTCATTTATATATATTTAATGATCATGTAAATGTCCTTTTATTATATGTTATTAGTTGTACTTATGTACATTTTATATATTTTAATTTTGACACTTCATTAAAAAACATGTATAAATAATCAGTTTTTATAAAATCCAATTTAGTTATATTTTATGCTGAAATTTTTTAAAATAAACTATTGTTTAAACTATTTTATTTCATAATTTTTTTTTTCTTTTTCTTGCTTTTTTTCTTTATGTTTTAAGTTAAAATTTTAATTTGCATAATATCTTTAATCATATATTTATATTTTTTACAGTAAATTATGCTTACTATACATATATAATTCTATAATTATATGATAGTTTTTATGTGAAAATTAATATTTGAATTTATTATTGTATTAAAATATATAATATAATGTAGTATTTGCATTATATTATAGATTAAATAATCATTTAATCAGAATTATATTAGTTTATATATACATTATTATATCACACATAAAAATTCAAGAATATAATTAAAATTCATTTCAATATTAAGAAAATAATATTACTGAAGGTACATTATATATTAAATTGGTTCAACTCATGTTCCATTTTATTCTGTATATTATTTATTATAATTAGTTTTGTTATGCAATATAATGTTGAATAAATGCTGCTATAATATATATATTGCATACATTTACTATGCAAACAAGTAACATATAAATGTTCTTCACAAAATAAGCATAAGAATTACTATTATTATATGTTATATTTATTAATATATTTATAATTACTATTATTACGATTTTGATTTATATTTTTTTATACGTTGTAATAAATCATAGTATAAATTTTTAATAAGCAAAAATTTATGCCAAAAGATATTTAAATATTTTTAAAGAAATTTCATATATAGATTAATATACGTGACATCATAATTAGTATAAACGTAGATAGAAACTTAAGCATGCTTTATTATTCTAAATTCGAATAATCTTTTTAGGTTATCCTAGAGAAATTTTAGTTTTATATATTAACGAACGTCAGAAATATTTGTATGATTATTGGTTATCTATGTATTTTTTAAATATATATTAAATAATAATCAAATATATGATTTATTATTTATTAAACATGTATCCTTGTGAAAAAAATATTTTAAAATGCATAAAGGAGACAACTGTAATGCGTTCAATATTTTTAACATTGTTACTATATATGTACACGTTTTTCATAGTAATTATGTAAATATTTATATATAATAAAATATATGTATACCTTTTTAATAAATTTATTACATTGAATTAGTATTAGTTAACCTATTGAATTCATGACTATCTATTCTTTATTCTTAATATTAAGTTATTTCTTACAGTTTTAGATAAAAATGATTATTTTATTGATACACTGAAAATTTCTTGATTAAACATTTTAATTAATATATATTTTTT